CCTATTTTAAGTAACAAGAACAATTTCCTTTTTAAGTGTCATGGCAAGAGAACAAAAAAATTTTAATTAATAAGCCTAATATATATTTATATAATATATCATGTAACTATTTAGAAAATTATCATTGCAGCCATTTAGAAGTTAGGACGGTTTGAACGAGTATTCGTTTCAAGAAAAACATCGCGAATAATACTGGCTCGTTTACTTCTTCAATAACTGCCAATGACAGACTAGATTTCATCTCCCTGTTTTAATACATATTTATTTCTTTGTGTAAATTTCTTGTTTAGGATATACGGGTAACAGACGTTATTTACATCATTCGGATAATTTTCATTTAACGAACAAACGGTTTGCAACTTTACCACGTTAAACCGGGTGTACATACATATAAATATTGGGCCGTCGATTACTTTTCAAAGGGAGATTTGCCATTAATTTACTAATCGTAAGTAAAACATATTGCCAACTTTATAAATTTAGACCTCATTAAAATATATAACGTATGTGAAATGTACACAAATAATAACTATGAGCTAATTAGAAACTCTTATATACACTATGTACAATTATACAAAAACCTATGAGAGGAAGGTCCACATAAAGGACAAGTACAATGTCGATGAACAATCAAAAATCATAAACCTTATTAAATTACTTGAGCATTGGAGATCAACCAGTATGGTAAATTGTATATGAATAAAAAAAGGACAGGCATATATGCGATTTGAAAACACTCAATTGCATAAGTACATGAATTCGTTTTCAGTACATTTTAAAAATATAAAAATAAAAATAGTCAACAACAGCTGCGCAATTCCTGAACGGCACAAACGTCTTTGTTTTAATAAATCACAACCTGAGAGAGGCAGATTTTGAAGGGCTATGTTACGTACCACCCACTAAGACAGACATGAAACCGTCCCAATCACTTTCCGACTTGGACGTACTTGGTTCTTTCCAATCGGAAGTGAAATCATTAGAAAGTCCTAGTTCGTCATACAGTTCGTTATTATTAAGGGACTCATTGTCCGTTTGCGATGTTAAACTTAACACTGAACTCCAATTTATAGACCTGCTCGGTTCTTCGTCGCCTATCCCGGAATCCACATCGGATAAGTTCGTGGGAAAAGGAGTAGCCCTTCCTGACGGCTGGGTGATCTCTCGAAAATTTTGCTCGTAACTACTGGGCTCGGATGAAACGGAATTCAATCGATTTTGTTGATGTTGCGGCATTTCTGATGATATACAAGGGTAGCTCGTTGGCTCAGGAGGTTCTGCCTCCATTTCCCGTTCTAGTTTCCTAAGGGTATTACAAATAAGCACTGACCTCCTCAGAGATGGATCGGAGCACTGCCTGTACCTTGCTAATTTGCACATGGAAAGATTTAGCACTGCTAATCGTTTTTGTCTGTAACAAGGTATGTGACACCACCGAGTTCTGCCATCACAACATCGCGGTCTTTGGGGCTGTACGGCCCCGAGTTCCAGGTACGATTTGCCGTTCTCTTCACAACGGATTGTTTGCTGTTGGGGCGGTTGATAATAGTTCCAATATTCTGGTTGATACCGCGAATATGTGGGTGGTTGCTGTTGTTGTTGTTGTGGAGGGTACTTGGCAGGTTCGGGGATTGCGGGACAGCGATCGTCATCTGATAGATCGTCGTCAAAGTCATCGTCGTCGTCAAAATCGTCCGTTAGTAGCGTAGCCGTTAAAGATGGGGTAGGTGATCGCCACGTATCACTAGGTACTGCAACCGCTTGTAAACGTGCAATACAATCTTGAGCTTCCCAACGACCATTTTTCGCTGGTGATAATTCTCCTGGAGCCACTGCGGCTTCGAGCTTACGTTTCCCTGAAGTACCCTGCAAACCCATCATGGCACAATTCTGAAATAAAAATTTTATCTTTAGTAAAAGAAACAGTAACAAGTCCGATTACAATACAAATAAACCAAAGGAAAGTAATTCTCAAACATGGCAATAATTTATACTTAGAAGGCAAAGTTATTGAGAAATGCCCAAAACTATCTCATACATTTAGAAGCTGAAGTAATTATACAGACAACATGTTTTAAAATGAATAAGACTTGTTTGAATCGCACCCCTCACACCAGTTACAAAATAAATTGAAAAACTAATTAACCTTTCGCAAAACTAGTCCAACTGAAGAATGCTCTACTTATGTCCGAAACGTTAGATAATTTGAAATAGACTTCGTAATCTATATATTAATTAATCACTAACAAAGCATATTTATGGATAAGAGATTTTATAACGTGTATAAATACCAGCATGCATCTCATTGATTAGTAGTACACCTGTTACTTATCATGTTGCGTAAAATTTATTTTTGCAGTTATGCACTGACTGCTTATATTATAGTGCAGTAAGCAAGAAAGGATGAAGTTGATTCAACAATATTGTAACGAACAGTTTATGTATGTATGTATGTATATTGTGTGTGTATAGATTGCCTTGATTTTTTCAAAACATAAATGGCACACGACGTGAGTTTATAATCGCTTATTAAAAATATAATAATACCTTATACTAATTATTTTATGTAGTAAAACAGTTCTGTCCGAAATACCACAAATTACGACAAAACGCGCCTTTAAGTACCACAACGATAACTTATATACGTCTGTACATGTATGTATACAATTCTTGTATGTATATTTTTGTTGTGGTATTTTAGGGATGAATTTCTTATCTATTAATTTGTGTTAATTACCCATTTCTATACTTTACAATTAGTTAAACTCACTCATAGTAAACATGGATTTATAATAAAATAGGATAAAAAAGGCATTTTTAATTAATTAGGGTAGATTAAACGACCAGGAAATAATTTAAAACAGATAACTTTTCATGGCCTAAGAAAAGCATTTAAAAACTTAGAATTATTATTCGTAGACAAATAAAATAATAATTATTTTAGCTCCTTTTCAAAACGACAAGAAAAGACGCCGGTTTTGTTAACCAAAAAAGAAAAATTCACCCCAGTTAATCCCAACAAATGACAGACTGAGTCAGTTTCGTATTGATAATGCTCCGCGTAAGTGGTGGGCGAAAGGCGAAACACGTGTACTAATAAAGTAAATTGGGATGAGACTTTATTTTTATTTAGTTGTTTGCGACAGTCTCTTATTCTCTATCTTCTAAAGTTTTGTGAACTTTACTTGTTTTCTGTGTGTTGTACGCAACTGCGGAAATTGACCACTAACCGAGATGTTTACTCAAAACGCGTTGTGGTTTCACCATTAATCTCGCACTGCGTTTTGCGAGCATTGTATCCAGAACGCGTTGTGGGTAAATTGGAAAGTTATTCCACAATGCGTTCGTCGAAAGTACATGACGATTTTTGGAATTAAATTAAGGTTACGATGTTTGACCTGATTCAATTTCAAATCAGAGTAATCTTCTCAATCATAATATGATATTGATTAATTTTTACCGAATATATATGCATATGCAATGTGGTAACAGATTTTCGTTTTGGAAAAATTAAGTACGTAAATAAAAAACCCTGGACTTTATGGGGAAAATACTGATTATACGTAATATATATAAAAGCATACGCTGTTTCATTAACGCGGCAGCCATTGCTACATATCCACCATGAGTAGATGAGTAGTATGTAGATAAAATACATGGGTAATAAACGAAGGACGTTCAATCCACAACCTGAGAAACTGTTCAAGGTTATCATCATGCTCTGAGGATGTATTACGGCGTACGGCTACTTTTGCTTGCTTGCTATACACCAACACCTTGTGCAATTACACCAGAAACCTACGTCTCTCTTTACTTTTATTATCATCCAACGTATAGGTACATAGAGCGAGCATACATGCGGGCAAAAGCGTACTCGTCTGAAGTTTTTGTGAGAACGTGTTTTTCCCACCGTGTTTTTCCATGCCACTGCGATATGCATGCTACGTACAAAGCAGCAGCGGTCTTAATTATACCATCGTTATGATTTCTAACTTCATTAGATTGTAAATGAAAGAATTGCTTCAGGATCGGTACCCGGAAAAGTTTTTTAAAAAAATTAACGTTTTGTATGGGGAGACAAGAGTACAAGACTGAAATAACCATGGGTACTTGTAATAGCAATTTTTTTAAATAAACTACATAATGATTTGTAGGGTGGTAAATACCTAAATGTATAAAAACATAAAAGAAAGCGAATAAAATAAAAGGTACATAAATGTGTTATGTAAGGTATACGCAAAACAACTCATTAATTTTATTCAGTTGAAAATATCCTTACAGGAAAAAGTTTGAAAGATATGTAACATAATTGCTATATTCGATATTATTCTTATTGTTAGAATAAACTCAAAGTAAAACTTTAAAAACGTGAAAACTTTGCGCTGTTGATGAGAGGAAACAGTGCTTTCCGAACTCTAGACTACCTGAAACGAACGAGGATATCTATATACCTATGAAGGGTCTAGGCTCAGGCATCTGGGGCGGATGGAAATATGTAGGTACATTTTCTACTACCCACCCCTATAAATCCTTATGCCTGCAGCACACATAACTAACAGATGGCGTTCAAAAATTCCAAGCCCAGCTTTTTTTTAACCCCGACGTAAAAACTAGAGACGCAAAAAATACTGTATAAAAGTTTCTGTCCTCGTGAGAATAGACGGTGTAATTATAGAAATTTAAATGAAGATGAAAAAGATTAAATTAAAGTAACGCTAAATGTATATATAAGCAAAATAATTTCTCACTACTAAATTGTTCTAAGCATTTACCCTAAATGAACCAAGTAATTAAAGAATTATTTACCTAGTCAGTTTAATTAATTATTTTACGATTTGTTTAATAGATTTTTTATGTGTCTTAACAATAAAAGCTACTTCATCCCTTGCAAGTTTTAAACACGCATTAATTATGGATAATTGTTTACTCCAGGGGCCACATCTCCGATTTTCTTGAAATTTAAATATATTGTATAGTTCAGAGTAGTGAGTAAGAACATATTTGCCTACCAATTGGGGGCGGAAACCATTCCTATTTTAATAACTCTAATGTTTTCACCCTGTACATTTCAATTTTAAAATTATAGAAAATTAAATGATCTAGATAAAACGACTGGTAAAAGTTTCAACAGTTATCTTCGAAAATTCTTCGAAGTCTTAAAGTAATTTATGGGCATCGTTTTTATACCAGGGTGCCTTTTATAGCAAGAAGAAGAAAAGGGTATTTTATGCAGGCAGGCGGGCAGACGACAGGATCTTCGAACTAACGGGCAGGCACCCCATCGGAAAACGTACCACACGGAACACGGGTGTAGTCGTACAGCCAGCCAGGCAGCCAAACCAACCCTGATGTTGCCTGCCTGCTTGGCTGCCGAGCGAGCGCGCCCGCTTTGAATGAACGACCAGGCAGGGAAGTCCCCCACAATTCTACCTACTCTGCTTGCTGCCTGCTAGACCAACACCCGACAGTTGCTTACGTTGCGGAGTTGGTTATAATTAATCGGCGGTTCTCAAAATGTTTAACGTTACACGGTATTTGTACAAAGCAATTGCAAATTATTCTTGAGAATTCGAAACGTATCGGTGAAATATCTTTATTTTTGCAAATACTAGTCGACCTAGACAAAAAAGGTGTAAGAAGAACAGTAAAAGCAAATATAAGTTGATGATATAATGCTAAACCAGATATTACAATACGTGTGTTCAAAAATTGTAGACAAGAAAATGCAAAATACCATTTCATAATCATACATATATTCAGATACTCTCAAAGTGGTATCACTAAATGTATACTTTTTTGTAAACTGCCAATTTTATAAATTCTTTGAAAACAAAATTCGATGCGACTTTTTTGTATATCATGTATTTTAATCTAATAATTTTATATAGGTGTTAGCTAACAAGAATCTGTATTAACTAGATAAAATTTTACCTTACATATCGTAGCAAATCTTTGGAATTTTAAATAGTGAAGTACCTAAATTTTGCGAAACTCTTTTTTAATTACAAATTCCAAACATACCTCCAGCAAACTTGTGAGTTACATATATCACCCTGTACTGATAAAAAATGTGAACAAAGTTACAATTTATTTTAAATCGTTTTTTTAAATTGTTACACCTATGTGATTTTTTATTAATTGTAAAAGGGTTAGCTTACACTATCGTGCAATTTTTGACGTAGCCTTATTTTTTTAATAATTAAACAAAGTCCATGATTATCGAGTACAAAATTTCCACTTAATTGTGAAAAAGTTTTCAGAATTGGTCCACTAATATTATTGGAATCAGACATAAACAAAATATTTTCTTCCGTTATTGGTGATCATCATAGACAGATATGTAGTCAACATTTTTAGAACCACTGCAAAATTAATATTAGACGGCAGCAGCAGGGTTGTTATTTGAGATAACCTCGATGCGCTGGAGGAAGCGAGAAACGAGAGAGAAGGAAAAAGAGAAGGACTATCGCCAGCCATTGGTAACTATGCCACATGCGCGCTTTCTACTGTTCCGCAAACTGCCTTGCCCGCTTGACTGTTCAGCCTGCCTGGTCGAAGGAAAATTCCCAATGAGCGCTGCTTCTACGTAAAATATATACCATACAAACGAACCAACGAACAAAACACGTAAACGAACGCTACGTGTGTTTCGTGTTCGTGCTTTTTTGACGTAAAGCTGCTAATGTATTAAATTGTAGAGCACTTGAGCGCGATTAAAAATCGCTAGCTCCGGGAAATTTCGAAAACTTACCGTACAGTACAAGAATTTAATTTAACAAAAAGTTTTTCGATAATACTTTTCTGTCAAATATTCCCTTTCTTTCGGAATGGTACCTATACAATATTTATAGGTACCTATGGGGGGAAAACGATTTCTGATAAAATGTTGG